TAAAGGGGATTCTTTTTCTCCATTGAGTTGGGACCTGCGCAGGACGCCTAGGTTGCGATTTACTTGGTAAGCTTAAGTCCCTCGTAGGTCCCTCCCTCCCGGCCTGCTGGAGGCAGTCCGTGGACCACGGTTTGCGGGCGAGCCAGACGACGGACTAGGAAGTCTGCACGTCACAACGCGGGAAGCGAGATGGCCCGGCTATGCGTGTCCAGATGCTGGTCTCCCGGGGGCGGCCGGCGGCTGGGGCAGCGCGGGCGGGGTGTCCGGGTCGGGCCGGGCCCTGGGGGCAGCGGGCGTGGGTGCGGCCGCGGGACCCTGGGCCTGCGCGGACCGTCCGCGGCGCGCGTCTCGGGCTGTGTCTTTGCCCCTCCGAGTGATGCTCGGTTTCTTATTTGTCTGCGATCGTGAGTGTCAATGCGTGTTTCCCGCACCGCTCACGGGCCTGGCGTCCGGCGGCAGGTGCACGGCGCTGTCCGGGTCGTTGCCAGGGGGCGTCGGGTCCGTCTGCGCGTCTCCCTTTCGGGTTGGAGGGAAGGGGGCGATGACATTGAGGTCTGGTCTCCCGTGACCGCCCATCGTCCTCAAGGTCTCGCGGACGCGGTCCGGGCGCCGGGCGGGTCCCCCGTGGGGCGCTTACCTGGGCTGGGAGTTGGCCGGTCCCCGCCTCCTGCCGGTCTCCATCTGTCCCCCCTTTCTGTTCTCTCTCTCTCTCTCTCTCTCTCTCCCCCTCTCTCTCTCGTTTGCCGCATGAAACCTGCAGGCGGGTCTTGGGGGACACCTGAAACGCTGTGTTTAGCCTCCATCCTTTTTGTCTTCCTCGCAGGCCTGACAGCCGGGAGGACCCTGGAGGAAAGATGCCTTCCGAGTCCTTCTGTCTGGCCGCCCAGGCTCGGCTGGACTCCAAATGGCTGAAGACAGACATCCAGGTGGGGTTTCTGACTCGCCTTTTTCCTTGGGCTGTTTCTGCCTCCCTGTTTCGGGGTCCGGCGAAGGGTTTCTTTTTAAAACATTTTTATTGATTGCAGAGAGGAAGGGACGGAGAGAGAGAGAGAAACATCAGTGATGGGAGAGAATCACTGATGGGCTGCCTCCTGCACGTCCCAACACGGGATCCCGATCGAGCCCACAACCGGGCACCTGCCCTGACGGGGAATCGAACCATGACCTCCTGGTTCATAGGTCGTTGCTCAACCACTGAGCCGCGCTGGCCGGCCCGGTTGTATCTTTCTTACCTGTACCGAGGTAACTCTGTACCAGTCGTTTTTTAAAATGTTCCGTTAATTTTACGGGGGGGGGTGGGGGCGGGGAGAGGGGGGGAAGTGGCGTGCAGGGGTTTATGATGTTCTGAAGGGTCTCGCTTGTGTAACGGGTTCCTGTGCCTGTGTTTGTGGAGAGACCGGAGTTCAGTGAGTTGTCGTTTTGCCCGGGTGGCTGGTCTTATTGGGAGGAGCGCTCAGATCTTTGCATCCAGCCCACGTGGATGGAAGCAGCACACCGTGCAACGTACAGATGACGCGCTGCAGAATGACACACGTGGAAACCCGTGTAACCTCACTCCCCGAGGTCACCCTAGTAAATTTAATGGAGAAAGGACGCGTGGAAGCACATGCTGCCCTTAAGACTCTCTAATGTTTTGGTTGCATGAGATAATTGCAAGCTTGTCCAGAAATTATGGGGTAAATAATAGCCGTATTATTTCCGGGGGTGATTCTGCACCCCAACTTGTTTTTGCTTGCAAATGGTTGGGGGAGAAACTACTTTTGTAACCATGTGTTACCGGCAAAAAGAAATGTCTGAAATACTCCGTAGTGTGTGTGTTTTTTCCTCTCCCCTGAGGTTGGACATTTTAAGTATTTCCCAAGTAACCCGCCTTTTTAGATGCAGTCTCGGGTCCTGCACGATGGTTTATCAAGAGTGTCAGATACTTGTCATGAAGGGTAATTGCTCTTCTTCACTATTAAGGCTACGAAAGGGGGTGCAGTCCTGGTAGATATGAGAGCCAGCTGTTTTAAATTATTAAATTTTTATTTTATTGATTTTAGAGATGGTTGGGGGCGAGATAGAAAATGAAACACATTGATTTGATGTCCCACCCACTTACGTGTTCATTGGCTGATTCTTGTGTGTGCCCTGAGCGGGATGGAACTCAAAGCCTGGGTGTATCTGGATGATGTTCTAACCAACTGAGCTACCGGCCAGGGCGTCAGGGGAGAGCCAAGTGTTTAGAACCGTGCTGTGGGTAGTGGGATTGTTATTAGTGGTGTAATGTTCGATAAGAAAAGCGCAAAGAATTGGGTCAAGAGTTGGCATAGTAGTGACTGTTTTGGTTCTTGTCTTTTATTTAGCAACTAGAGGCCTGGTGCACAACATCTGTGCACTTGAGGGGGGTGGTCCCTGAGCCCGGCCTGTGCCCTCTCGCAGTCCGGGACCCCTCAGGGGATGTCCGACTGCTGGCTTAGGCCCGTTCCCCATGGATCCTTAGTGCTGCCATGGAGGCTGGAGAGGCTCCTGCCACCTCCACTGTGCTCGCCAGCGTGAGCCCGGCTTCTGGCTGAGCTCCTGTGTTGAGCGTCTGCCCCCTGGTGGTCAGTGCGCGTCATAGCGACCGGTCGTTCTGCCATTCGGTCAATTTGCATATTAGGGGTTTATTATATACGACTCCTGTCTGTTTTCCTTTGTCATGTTTTTTTTTAAGCGGGGGGGGAGGGGAGGGATAATTTCTTTATTTTTGAATCTGAGATCAGGCAACTGA